TAAGTGGCCATTAGCGGCAAAAGCAGGGCGGCTGTGTGCAGAAGGGTTTTTAATTTTACTCCTTAAATGATGCTCACTCCCCAGAGAGGCCACTGATGGTGGAACTCTGCCCATTGGATCCCCCAGAACCAAGTCCAGGGCTGCACCTCCCCCTGCCCCATCCATGCAAGCCTGCTGGGGCGTGTGGCAGGGGTGCCCACTGCCCAGGAAAGAAATTGAGGGGACGGGAACTTGCCTCCTAGAATCTGCCCCCTTTGCCAGGTAGGACTCCCAGGTCCTTAGATCATTCCAGGGCCAGCCTCTGTCTGAGACGCCTCTTTTCTTAGTCCTGTCCCCTTGTGGACAGGAAATGCCACAAGGACTAATTGATGGTAGCACAGAGGAAGGCAGTATCTGGGGGCAGTTTGTAGGACATGGAGACCAGCTGCCTGGATCTAAAGCGTGGTTTTCTGTGAGACCTGAGGCAGGTGGCTTAACCTCTCTGAGGCTCAGTTTCCTCACATGTAGGATGGAAGTAAGAAAAGTAACGTGAGGTGAGGATTTGGAGCCATTTGGAATGTTCAGGCTTATCTTAGGCTTGGCACTTAGCAAAAGAGACCGGTGATTGTGGGATGGAATTATTTCTGCCTTTTTATGGGGAAAGTTTTGAATTCTGAATACACAGAATCATTGAAATTCTCACATTGAAAATGTAAAAAAAAACAAAAAACCCCCAATATTGATACTCCCCTGTATCCCAGAGAATCTGAAGTACTTGGTCTGAGGAGGGTCCTGGGCATCATGATTTTAAAAGCTTTCCAGCTGTCCAACATGCAATCAGGGCTCAACAAGCACTGCATGGAGGCAAAGTATCTGGAAAGTTCTTGGTCCCTGGGACAGTGGGTGTTGGTACCTTAGGTGGAGGAACAACCTAACTTGGGCATATAGGAAGGGCAGGGCTTAAGCCTAGGGCTGGGGTTTCTATAGATTCTGGATTCCCAACTAGGCCTCTCCACTGCCCCATGTTTACCTGAAGTTGGAGGTAAAAGGGACCCCCAGGGAGCAGGCATCTAGCCCCCACACTACTTCCTCAGGAACCTACTCTGACCTGGCTGGCCTGGTCCTGGGGTTCCCATACTTGGAACCAGATACACCAAGTCACAATGCCTTTGGCCTCATTCTTGGGGAGGCTGGACTCTCCTTCCCTGGGGTCACCCTAACCTTATCCAAGGCAGTGCCTCCTCCCATGGCCTCTTCTCTGAGTCACACAGTAAAGGTGCCATAGATGATGCTCCAGGTGGCACAACCTTCAAGGACACTGTCCACACTGTGGCCTTTTTGAATGATGGCCCTGGAGTTGTGAAACCAGAAGTACTACGTAGGAAGGGTGCCTGCATCCTCCACCCCCGACCTTGTTTTCTTTTTGAGATGGGATCTTTCTGCATTAACCAGCTTGAATCCTGGGGCTCAAGAGATCCTCTTGCCTCACTTTCCCAAGTAGGTGGGACTACAGGTACATGCTACTGGGGCTAGATTTTGTGTCCCTATTTGTACAGAGGGGGAAACTAGGGCCTGGGATGGGAATGGTCTGAGAGCTCCAGTCGGGGCAGGAATAGGGTCTGTCTTCCCTGCTGCAACCCCAGCACCAGCACAGGGCCTGCCACATAGTTGGCCCTTGGTGAACACTGGTGACTAAATGGAGGGAGGAATAAAACAATGAAGAGATACTTTTGTGAGAAAGGAGCCATGAGCCAATACCCCAGCTGGTAGGACCAGTGCCCTGATTTGGGCCCAGCTCTGCCCTCAGTGCACATAAGAACTAAATAAAGCACCTTCTTATCCTTCCTGGGATTCAAGACCCTAAAAGAGCCATCCCTGGTTCAGAGGTCCCATCTCCTTGGATAGTTGAAGTTCCAATACAGGTTTGCCTCCATGTGTCCAAAGCTCAGGTCCAACATATTTCCTGGACCTGGGGATGCTACTTGTCTGAGGTGCAAGGCCCCTAATCTGGCCTGCTTTTGTCTGACTCTTGGCCCCAGAAACTACCCTGTACAACTTGGAGACCCATCCAGTTGTCCCTGATTAGATGAGACAATGAACTTCTGTCCTGTGTTGCTCTGCTCCCTCTTTGCAAGCCACAAATTAAAATTCCAGACCAGAGCAAGGGATTTAAATTGGATTATTGGATAGGGTCCAGGGAGACAGGAACAATGGAGTGGGAAGCGAGGGTCCAGCACCCCCAATACCCCTCCTTCCATGCGTACACAGGCTGCAAACAAATGTGAAAAAGAAGAAAGAGACCAGAACTTGATTAAAAGCAAATTCAAAACATAATGAAACTCAGAGCTCACTTTGAACAATTAGGACCAAGGAGGAGGAAGGGTGGCCCCCTCTTTCCTCTGGCCGTATGAGAAGAGGCACCTTGTGGGCCTGGAACCAGAAGCAGGAGATCACTGGCCAGGAGAGAGCTGGGAGGGCAGGAGCTGTGACCTCAGTGCATATACCTCAGGGATAATATGGGGAGCAAGGGCCCAGCTCAGGATCAGAGAGACTTGGGTTCAAATCCTGGCTCTGCCATATCCTGTCCTGACACATGACATCTCTTGAGTTTGTGCACCCCTCTGTGGAATGGGGTGGCAGGGCCTCCCTCTAGGGGTTGCTGTGAGAATGACTTGTGGACTGAGCACATGGTGGGTGCAGTCAGTGGATATGCCTTTTCCCATTACTCTTCCATTGAAATAATTTGTAGTTACTGTATAGGCCACAGGCTGGGCTGTAGATTCGGTAGAAAGGAGATGTCTCAATTGGCAGGGCAGGATCCAGAACATGGGTGCAGGAAGAGGGTAGAGACTAGGACTCCAGGCCTTTGGCTGCAGCTCCCCAGGGAATTCCCCCAACTCCTCACCAACTATGAGGATCAACTGTTTCTCTATGGTTGGTTAAGGGACTTGGAAAAGTCTCTAGATGGTGACTGGTTCTGAGCTTCCTATGTGGAGAGCTGGTCATTGCCACCACTCATCTACCCTCCATGAGCGGGGAGAGACCTTCAGATATCACTGAGGCTGCTACTGAAGCTGAAGACTTTATCTCCTCCAAGTACAGCTTGTTTCCCCAACTATCTTCCCACACCTGCCACCAGACGGTCTTGAAGGTCAGTTGGGGCTGGGACCTCTGAGCCCAGCACTGAGTCCCCTGGATCCACACTGGATAGGAGGCCCTCAGAGTCCATCTTCTCTGGACTCCAGGCCCTAGGAGACCAGACTCTCCTTCTTCCATGATGTCAGGACACATAGGGATGGGCAGGGGACCCCATGATGAACAGCAGGGACAGCTCCTGGAGAAGGGGACTCTAGTTCTCTCATGGGGCCTAGATGTTGTGTAGGGGGTCTGAGCTGGGATGGCAACCCTGACTTGATCCTGTCAGGACCCTGGTCTGAGCAAGTGTAGACTTGCTCATTTTTTGAAAAACTTGGCTCATTTTTGGAAAATATTGAGATATAATTTTAAAATATTTTTTTATTTGTTGATGGACCTTTTTTTTTTTTTTTTTATTTGGAGCGAGCACTCTACCACTGAGCCACAACTCCAGCCCGAGACATAATTTTTATTAGTAAATTCACCCTTATTAGGGCTGGGGTTGTGGCTCAGAGGTAGAGTGCTCGCCAACCATGCGTGAAGCACCGGGTTCGATCCTCAGCAGCACATAAAAATAAAATAAAGATACTGTGTCCCCCCTATAACTAAAAAAAAATAAATATTTAAAAAAATTAAATTCACCCATATAAAGCATACACTTCAGTGGTTTTCAGTATATTCAGAGTTGCACAACCATCACCACAATCTAATTTTAGAATATTTTCATCACTCCCAAAGGAATCCTGTATTTATCAGTAGGCCTCCTATTCCCTCCCCTCCAGCCCCAGCAATCACTTTCAATTTCTGTGGATTGCCTTTCTAGGACATTTCATAGGAATGGAATCACCCAACATGTGGCCTTTTGTCACTGGCTTCTTTCGTTGGCATGATATTTTGGAATTCATCCATGTTGTAAGTGTGTATCAAGACTTCATTCTTTTTTATTGGACTTATCTTTTTTGTTGTTGTTGTTGTTGTTGTTGTTTTTTAGCTCAGGTCTCACTTTGTTGCCCAGACTTGAACTTGTAGGCTTAAGTGATCCTTCTGCCTCAGCCTCCTGAGTAGCTGGTACTACAAGTGCGTGCCTGGCTCATGGACTCAGCTTCCTTTGATACAGGCTAGGGCAGCTGCAGGTGTGCCTCTGATCTTGATACAGGCTAGGGCAGTTTGGATACCTCTGGCCCATTTATGCATGACCTGCCCAGAGCCCTCTGCAGTTCCAGACACCTCTCCCCACCTGCTGTTCCTGGGATAGGCTGAGTAGCAGGAGTCTGCCTGCTGTGTCAGGGTAGTCCAGCAGGTCCTGCTACCCAGGTGAATCTGAGGGCTTTGGAGATTATAGATACAACCTCTCTGAGTATAGATGGGGATGACCAAGGCCCAGAGGGGATACAGAAACATTCAAAATCTGGGGCAGAGCAAGAGCTTCGACCTTCAGCCTTACATGGTCATGGCATTCTTTGTAGGGCATCCAAGGGCCCTCAACACTCTCCATCAGAGCCTGCAGCCCACCCCAGGGGTGGAGATTCCACCATCAACAGGTTGCTGTCCTGGCCAGGGACTCATCCAAGATACCACCATAAACAGACCTGAGGGCCTACAGGAATGGGAGGACCCTAGGCCCAGCAGAAGGGAGGGATTGGGATGTCTGGATCTGAGACTCCAGGTCCCCGCTTCATGTGGCTGACTCCAGATAAAACTGTCCCGCTCCTGCCACAGCTGCCCATAATCCATGATGGCACAACTCCGTTGATGACACCCTATCTAAATTCAGTGGACCAAGGGCTATGCAACAAAGGAGGATTGGGACAAAATTGCCCTTCCAGTCAGGACCACTCCACTTGGTCCTCCCTTAATGCCTCTCAACTCCCAACACACAAACCTACCTTTAGGGCCTGCACCTTCCTGTCCAGTAGGCTCTCGATATCCCCTGCCACCTTCTCCACCAATTTCTGAGGCTCATTCTCCTGCACCTCAAACAGGTTCCGGTTATCTTTGTAGATCTGGAAGGAAGCAGAAGTCAGAGGTAAAGCCAGAGTGGTTGCACACTCCCATACCATGGGCCCCCATATACTCTTTGCACAGCTCCATTCAGCTGAGCCTTCACCCCCACCCGCCCTGACTTTGGCCACAGAGACAGTATGGAGTCTAGCGCCCTCACAGTCTCAGGGAAGAGGCAGGGCTGGTGCTCTATAACTTGCATCTGGGATGAGAGCCCAGTTTGGGCTGGTTGATGGCTAGTGGTTATACTGGCTGAGTCCAAGTTGTCACCATCTTGTCTGTGCCACAGGGTCCCCTCTTCAGGGACCTTGAGCAGCACTCATTAACTAGCTCAGAATGGCTATGAACAGCAGACAGGGAAGGGTGGGTTGGCAGAGGTGGGAGGCAGGGCATGGGAGGAGATGGAGCCAATCAGCACACACTACATGGCCACATATCAACACAAAGATGATCTCACACCTGTGTGTACACACATACACCCACGTGTGAATATGCACGTAGTTGCTGCTCCATATGGCCTGGGGCATCTGTACTCCTTTCTGCTGATGTGGCCCCGGGGCATTTGCAATCACTGTGGTGGGAGCTCTGGGTGCCCCTCAGGGTTCCTTTGTCATTCAGGGCACAGATATGGGGGCAGGGAATAGGGAACAAGGAGCATGTGAGGGGGATGAATTTGCCCTTTCCTTCTCAGAGGGTGGAACTGTGGGCATGTGCATGTGCCAGCACACTGAGAAAGGGGGCCTAGGTCCTCTAGACACAGCCAAGGGGCTTGTATGTATGTGAGTCTTAGGAACAGTTTTCTGCAAGTGTCCCTCCCACTTTTTTTTTTTTTTCAGTACCAGGGATTGAACCCAAGGTATTCTATCACTGAATATATCCCCAGCCTTTTAAAATTTTTAATTTTGAGATAGTATCTCACTAAATTGCCCTGGTTGGCCTTGAACTTGCCTCAGCCTTCCAAGTAACTGGGATTACAGGCGTGTGTCACTGTGCCTGGTCTCTGCAGGCATCTTTGTTTGTGAGTGAGGTCTTGGGTGTGTGTGTGTGTGTGTGTGTGTGTGTGTGCTCATCTTACATTCCTGTGTTCCTAAGCCTGGTCAGATCCATGTATCCATTCAGGTGGCCTCAGGAGTCCTGTGCCCTAAGTTGGTTTTTTTCACCACCAGAGGTCACAGGCCAGACTGCCATGACTGGGCCATACCTCCAGGCTGTGCAGAAGTGAAAGGACCTGGAAAGAGAGGAGGTGATGAGGGGGAGATCAGGAGATGACAGAGGCAGCTGATGAGAGACAGACAGTCAGGGAGAGATAAGGTCAGAAGAGTGACACAAGACAGTGGAGAGATAAGGCCTCTGTCAACTGATAGGGGGATGGGCTGGGGGTTGCTACAGCCAGAGCCCCTGCCCTACTGCCCACCTAGCACCCAGCAGTCTGAGGGTTAAAAGCACAGCACAAAGCAGACTCAGGCAATCTTCTCCTCCTCCCGCCACCCCCATCTCTCCCAGCTTCTCTTTGCTTTTTGTCCTTCTCTTAGAACAAAATAATTTGTGGTGAAGTCGCTCCTTCCTGCAGAGCAGTGGCAATTAGGGGGCGAGTTGTGGGGCCTGGCTACACAGCCAGAGAGGACAGCGGCCCCAAGTGGGCACCAGGACAGGTTGTTCTCCAGGCCTCAGGCCCTGCCTCAGGACAGAAGCCCTCTGATGGAAGACAGTGATGGAGGCAGGGGACATGGTGTGGGGGAGCGGAGCCTGAGGGGGTCACAGGGAAATGCAGTGCTTTACTGTTGAGGAAACAGGATCAGAAAAAGGAGAGGACAAGTCAAGGCCATATGAGAGAGTGGCACATCCAGGGCCCCATCTACCTTGACCCATTCTTCCCAGGTTTTGTTACATTCAAAACATCTCCTTTCCCTTGCCTGGGACCACAGCCCCTGGGTGTGTTGTGGTCATGGTTTCCTTCTCACTGGCTTAAGCCTCAGCAAAGTGGTACCCCAGGCCACTTGCACCAGCAGGGGGCGCAGCTGCCTGGCTTCTTCAGGGCCAGAGGATTAAGTTCCCATACCTTAGACTCTCCTCCCTGTCAAGGTCATTCCCAGGATCTGAGGAATATGAGTCTACTGACACCTTTCCTGGGGAGACCTAGAACTCTCTCCCCGGAGCCCAGGGTGCCCTTTGAAGCCTTGCATGGCAATTGAGCTGAGGCTTGGGGCCTGCAGAGGAAGATCACTAGGAGTCAGGGCCATATCCAAGGACACCAGGTGACACAATGGCTTAGAAGCTGAGATGCTGCCAAAAGTCACCCATTTCTGAACCTCAGGGTCCAATATATTAAATGAAAATGGCAATTCTCATCTCACAGGCTGACAGAGGACAGCCCAATTCATGCCTCAAGAACCCTGTAGTGGGGCTGGGGCTATGGCTCAGCGGTAGAGCACTCTCCTAGCTCATGCGAGGCCCTGGGTTTGATCCTCAGCACCACATAAAAATAAATAAATAAATAAAATAAAGGTATTAAAAAATGTAAGCATGATATATTAAAAAAAAGAACCCTGTACTATTGTTGTTACTGATATTGTTTAGGGTTTCCAGAATTCTGCAGAAGCCAACTTGGTCGCCCCATCCCCTCCATTCTCTCACAGCTAGATCTGCACGCTCAGGGCTGTATAAAGCTATCAGCTTCCATTCCTGAGTAGGCAACCTCAATCTCCTGAGGTCTGCCCACTTCCAGCCCCATTCCCTCTTTTAAGGTCCCTCCCCCAGCCACCCTGTTCTTGTCCCCAACACTTAGGCCTTAGCCCTGGAGGTGATAACTGTGGAGCCAGTGATAACTAGGGAGCCTAGACACCAGGTCGCCACTGATGGAGCACAGCCAGTCAGTTCCTTTCCATCTCTCCCCATGCATCATGTCTGTGTGCAACTGATACTCAACAAATATATATGTCGGATTCCATGTTCAATAGCAGAGCTCTGGGATCTGTGTTTCATTCCTTCACTTTTGTCTGAAGTTGTGAGAGCCCCTGGAGCCCAGAGATGTCTCTGCTATACTTTCTCTTGTTCCACTTCTACTACCTAAGAACCATGGCACCTTTCTGTTGACCTCCCATGCCAGTATTTGGGACCTCTCTGTCCTACTGACCTGTCATATGCCTGCAGGCCTTGGGTCCCTGGCTCATGCTGATTCCCACTGCATTACTTTTGCTCATGCTATCTCTGCTTCTACTGCCTACCTAAATCCTCTTTAGAGTGAAGGCAGAGAAGTGGGTTGGAAGCAGTTTTGAATAAGATGAGGGCAGAATCCAAGAATGGCATGGGCTGGTCAAGCTGCTCAGCCAAGCCTGTTCCTGATCTTGAACAAGCCTCTGAGATGTAACAGTCCTTGAATGGCAAGCCCCTTATGTTCACCCTTCTAASATTCTCCTGGATCTGCTCCAGCTGCTCTGTCTCCTGGGCAGGTCCTGAGCTGAGCCCCAAGCCCCAGGGAGAGATCCAAGTGATATAGCCTAGCAGATGGCCCCACCTTGGGAGATAGGTCATTTCTATAGTGATGTGGTCCAGGGAGGTCCTTTTCACTGTGGTCCCTGGCAGGGAACCCAGGAGAGCTTAGGGCAACTCCAAAGCCTGGACTCTGCCCAGGGCTAGCTCCTTTCAAGGCCCAGCCCTCAGCACTGCTCCCAGGGATCAACTGGGAAGTGGCAGAAAGGACAAGGCACACATGGTACAGATCCTCAACAACCATAGCAGGACCACATGCTCATTGGTGTCCTTGGCCCAGAGAGTTGATTGGAAAAACCCAACAGCTCCCACAGTGGTGCAGCCTGAGAGGTCCTTGTTTCTGCCCAGGCATCTGGATGGAGGAGAGAGATGGAGACTGCAAGTTCACAGGCTGTTGAAGCTGGAAGTCAGTCATGATAGGGAGGAAGAGGTGGGGCTTCATCCCCAGGGGAAGGTAGGATGGTGTTGGGGCAGGGCACCAGATGCAGACAGGTGGGCATGTGGGGGAGGGCAGGAGACAGTAGCAAAGGGGCTGAGGAACAGGGAGACCAGGGGTGGCTGGGGTCATGAGAGGCAATTTAGGGGACCGTTTGGAGCACCCTACTAGTTATAAAGATCTATCCCTTCATCTCTGCATGTCCCACCTCCCTCCAGTGCTGCTCTGACCCCAATTGTCTCTCAGCTCCAGCAATTCTTTTGTTAAGCATCATGTGCAGCCAGCCTTCTGGCCCAGAGATTTTAAGAGAATGAAATCTCCTCAGGGGCCCCAAACCCGCTGCTCAGCCTCCTGCTTCCCTGGGAAGTTCCACATAAACAAGAAGTGAGCCTGGAGAGCATTTGCAGGAATGGAGGCCTTGGACAGGAAGCCTGAACCCTTGTAGGGCAGAGGGAGCCAGCCTTATCCTTCTAGTTCCTGACGGGGAGAGGTGGTGGAGCTGCTACAGCCCTAAGATGCCAGGAACACAAAGATAGCCCCTACAGTAGCCCAAAGGCCTCAGGACAAGTGACACGGAAAGGCCCCAATCAGAGGGCATTTTGCAAAGTCCTAGCAAGCCAGCAGCAGTGAGGCCCAGACCTGAGCCAGCACCCAACCAGCCCAGGGTGAAGATGAAGGTGGCACAGGAGAGGGAAAGGAGCAAGAGGAAGGGAAAAGAGAGGACAGATCATCCTCACCACGGGAACAGCCCTGTTTGCTGTTGAGCATTGGCTGGGATGGGTGCTTTACATACTTGGCCTCAATGATCCCCAACAACCATTGAGGAGGATCTAATGGATCTCTCCATTTAGGAGGTAGGACACTGGGGCCCAGAGAGGTGAAGTCCCATACAGAGCTGGATTGATGATTGAAAGCCTTGGCTTTAGGGCACACCTGTGTAGTTCCACCCCTGTATTTATATATCCCTGAACGTGAAGGTGAGGCCTGTGGAAAGGGGACATAAAGTGAACTGGGGATCAAGCCAGCCTGAAAGGGGACTGAGGAGGACACTSATGCTAAAGGACTAGTGACAGGTAA